CCACTGGTGAAGTAGTAACTGGAAAACCAACCACTGGTGAAGTAGTAACTGGAAAACCAACCACTGGTGAAGTAGTAACTGGAAAACCAGCCACTACTGAAGAAGTAACTGGAAAACCAACCAGTGGTAAAGTAGAAACTGCAAAACCAACCACTCGTGAAATAGAAACTGCAAAACCAACCACTAGTGAAGTAGTAACTGGAAAACCAACCACTGGTGAAGAAGTAACTGAAAAACCAACCACTGGTGAGGTAGTAACTGGAAAACCAGCCACCACTTCTGAAGTAGAAACTGGAAAACCAACCACTGCTGGAGAAACTGGAAAATCAGCCACTGCTGAAGTAGCAACTCCAAAACCAACCACTGGTGAAGTACAAACTGGAAAACCAACCACCACCTCTGAGGTAGAAACTGGAAAACCAACCACTGCTGGAATAGAAACTGGAAAACCATCCACTGCTGAAGTAGAAACTCCAAAACCAACCAATGGTGAAGAAGTAACTGGAAAACCAACCACAGGTGAAATAGTATCTGGAAAACCAACCACCACTGATGATGTAGTAACTGGAAAAACAACCACCACTGAAGAAGTAACTGGAAAACCAACCAGTGGTAAAGTAGTAACTGGAAAACCAAACACCACTGCTGAAGTAGGAACTGGAAAAACAACCACTGCTGAAGTAGTAACTGGAAAAYCTACCACTGGGAAAGTAGTAACTGGAAAACSWACTACCACTGCTGAAGTAGTAACTRGAAAACCAACTCCTGGAAAAGTAGTAACTGGAGAATCAACCACTACTGCTGAAAAACCAACTACTGGTGAAGCGGTTTTGCCTGTAAACTTCTGTGCTGAAGGGAAACATGATTGTCATCCTAACGCCGATTGTTTCGTCCGTGATAATGGTTATGTTTGCCAATGCAAAGAGGGTTTTGKTGGAAATGGAACGCAATGCCATGGTAAACGAACTATTTGAAAAAGTGCGGAATAATATTTTGTCATTTCTAAGAAGAAGTGTTTTTCTGAAATCCTTGAAATAATATTTTCTTTTAGATGAAGATGAATGCGTAAATCTTATCGCAGACTGTGATGAGAATGCAAATTGCATGAACACTTTAGGGTCGTATCGCTGTAACTGCAAGGCGGGTTACTCTGGCAACGGCAATGTTTGCAAAGGTATTGTAACTTTTATCATATATTTTATTTTGAAAAATATCCCGGCTGTTGTGTTTGTTTTTAAATACTTATCAAGAAAAATATTGACCACATTTTTTTATACATGATATACAAGAGAGGTATTCTGAGAAGAAGCAAAATATCTATCCTAAATGTTAAACAATTGGTTTATTGAGAAACAAATGGTGGTAAATTTTTGCCGTTCAGAAATATTTTTTTTTCCATTTTGAAAAATCATGGTATGAAGTGCGAAGCTCGTTGACATCACTTCTCGAGCCGCTCCTGTAAAGGAGATCTACTTCGCTCCGCCAATTGTTATTCGCTATAATGCATTGTTAATTCTTCACCAGACAACGATGAATGCAGCGCAGAGACTCCTGTATGTAGCGTCCATGCTGAGTGTGTGAACACCTTGGGATCTTACCAATGTACATGTAAAAAAGGATTCCTGGGCAATGGGACAACATGCAAAGGTGATTAAATTTGAAATTAAAGTTTAAGATTAAATTTGAACTAGAAATATTTATTGAAAAAAAAATGAACAACGGTACAGTAAAGAATGCACAACTTCAACAATACCAACACTTCAAAATTCAACGGACCTTCACTTGAACACGTCAATATTCTACACAAAACCGAGACTAATCCAAAGCAAAAGAGAACTCAAAACTGAATTTGTGTAACTTTTCAGATTTCAACGAATGTTCTAATGGAATTCTTAAGTGTGATATGAATGCAGACTGCATCAACACTATTGGCTCCTACAAGTGCAAGTGTAGAGATGGTTATGAAGGAGATGGAGTAGATTGTAGAGGTAACGAAATTATATTGATATTTCTTTTTTTTTTTTTTTTTTTTTTTTGCTGCTGTATCATGATACCGAGGTAGTAGCAGGGTGAACGTCTCTTTCACCTGCAATTCTTGTTTCTACGACAAGTAAATGTTTTTACTGAACCKAAATTGTCCGTAAATTCCGATGGTKAAAAACGACATGATGGGATAAACGTCTGCACAACAAAATGTTCATGAAACTGTGTGGTGACATTTCCCCCCCAGAACTTGGTAGGGATTGTGATCCAGAATGCACCGGCAATACTGTTTGCGTGAAGAAGGGCACTATCAGTCAATGCGAGTGTAAACAGGGATACATACGACAAGGATCAGTATGTGTAGGTGAGTAAAACAAAGAAATAATTAAATTGTTATCAAACAATCATTTATATCCATGGTMTGTCATGTGGCGTGTGACTGTCTGTTCATTTGTTTGTATGTGTTTTCATTTGCTTAACACATCAGTTATTTTAGATCGCGACGAATGTAAAGACGGCTCTCACTCGTTTCCCATCAATGCCTTGTGTACGAACACAGAAGGCTCGTATCTTTGTCTCAGGGTTACTCTGGAGACATAAAGATTGTTTCACCATAAAGTCATAAAATCAAACAAAAATTCCAAAAATATATCTTGTCAAAAAAAAAATCTATAACCCAGAGGTTTGAGAAGGAGATAAGGCACAGGAGAAAAACTTCACAAACGTTTTTTTCTATTTTATCTTTCAATCCAAAGACATCAACGAATGTGTGGATGATGGTGTATGTGGTGTGAATGCTCTCTGCACCAATATGGAGGGATCGTATGTTTGCCGTTGCTTGGAGGGATACACTGGTGATGGAAAAACTTGCATAGGTGATTTTATCCATATAGTTAATCATGTAGTATTTCCTTTTTTTTACCCTTCCCTTTCCTTTCCTTTCTGTTCACTTCGTGGTTCTCCTAATTTCTTCCCCATTTGTCCCTTTTCCTAAGCCTCAATGAAAAGTATAGAGTCCCGTGAAAAGTTTAATGGTTTCGCCCATTTCAAAACTCGTATGGTTCCTCGATGACATTTTGAAGGTTATTTCTTGGTTGTTATGCGCGCTCACATCTTGGGCTCAATTCGAAAGTTGAAAATTAGGCAGTCACCTTAAACCAGCATTGCCCTTCACGCCCAGGGGTTTGAACAGGGGATAAGGCAGAGGAGAAAAACTTCACGAATGTTTTTTTCTTTTTTATCTTTCAATTCAAAGACATCAACGAGTGTGTGGATGATGGGGTATGTGGTGTGAATGCTCTCTGCACCAATATGAAGGGATCTTATGTTTGCCGTTGCTTGAGGGGATACACTGGTGATGGAAGGACTTGCATAGGTACTTTTATCCACATAGTTAGTCGTATAGTCTTTCCTTTGCTTTCCTTTCCTTTACTTGCTGTTCCCTTCGTGTTTCTTCTAATGTCTTCTCCATTCTTCCCTTTTCCTTGCTTAATGCACTTTTTGTTTCCATTTTCCATGCGATATGCTCGTACTTCGTTTCAGTAATGATTGTTGTTGTTTTTCCTAGATCTCGATGAATGTGTAGAAGGGGCTCATTCTTGTCCAAGTAATGCCTTATGTAGCAACACCCCTGGATCATATCGTTGTCGCTGTTTAAGGGGCTTCTCTGGAGATGGAGTAACCTGCAATGGTTTGTTCCTTTCTTACTGATACTTTATTGATAATCACTTCTTATTATATCTCAAACTATTTTCTTTTGCAGACATAGACGAGTGTTCTAGCGGTGACAACACATGTGACACTAACGCACTCTGCTCGAATGTCCCTGGATCGTATGTCTGCCGTTGTAAGAAAGGTTACGAGGAAGACGGACGAATTTGCCAAGGTATGTTAACTAGTAAGACTGGATTTTAATTTGAGTTGTTATATTTATTTTGACTCTAATGCCTTTTTCAAGTGGCTACACATACAGTTATTTCTTCTTCTTATGTCTTTATTGGTTTTTCCTGTGAATTTTCACCAATTGCACCGAGTTTCATGATAGGTTTAAGCAACAATAAAAATAGAATGGTTTTCCAAACAATGAACACCTAACCTACCTAACCTACACCTAACCTAACGAAAGAGGTTTTTACTATTGGGCAATCAAAATGGAGTTCCCTATAGACAACGTCTTACTAATTTCCCCAGACAAAGATGAATGCGTACTTGAAGAGCATGATTGTTCCGAGCTAGCTGATTGTATCAATACAGAAGGCTCGTTTGCCTGTCAGTGTATTGCTGGATACGAGGGCGATGGCAGGAACTGTACAGGTACGACTGGTGTAAAATTTCTATTTCTATAAAACAAAACGTTCTTCTTGCAGTGGGTTTAGTTTTGTCACATTTAATTGATATTGATATAATGTCAAATATCACTAACTTTACCCATTTCGAATTTTCTTTTATTCTTCCGAAAACCCAGATATAAACGAGTGTGAATCAGTTGCTGTGAACGGGTGTCCTGAAAACTCGATGTGCTCCAACACAAAGGGATCATATGTTTGTCAATGTATGGAGGGATTCACTGGTGATGGAAGGACTTGTTCTGGTTAGTATATGTAGGACAGAGACGTAGTAACGTAAAGTTTTAGGGGGAGGGGGAGGGGGCTAAAATGAACATTGTGTAGGCATTTATCAAACTTCAGTGTTGCTAATTATAGTTAATTTAACTGATAATGGTTATGGATCTTTGTTCAAATTTTCTAAACCATCTGTTTTAAATTTACAGACATCAATGAATGTACCTCTGGAATGGACGACTGTAGCCCTTATGCGCTGTGCTCGAATACAAAAGGCTCATTTATTTGTCGATGTCTACGCGGTTTTACTGGTGACGGCAAGACTTGTGTAGGCAAGTGACACAGGCATCCCAAGTTTGCATTTTGTATTGGCTGTATAAGTTAACCCGGGTGTGTCTAGGAAGGGCACTTTTATTTGATTTGCCAGAAGTCTTTTATCTATAGGTTTCATGCAAGAACRTTAAATGAACGCATTCTTTGGTCATCTCTGGGGAGCAATGAGGGTCTTAGTTCTTCGTATTTCCGCAAAGATATAAAAGATAGATTGTTTTTGGATTCAGTGAATAAACAAAGCAATTGGTAAAAATAACATTGCGAAATCCCATTTAAAGTTCATCTAATATTTTACTTCTCATTTTTTCTTTTAAAAAATAGACGCAATGTCCGTTTGTCTGCCAGAGTGCGGTGAAAATGCCGAGTGCAAGCTCCAAGATGGTCGTCCACAATGTGTCTGTAAACAAGGATTTCAAGGTCCATCTTGCACTGGTAAGCCAATGGAGTTAACTTGAGCCATAAGACAAGAAGACTTTGGTGCACTTTACCCAAAATGCATATGGGAAGCACGCTGACCTCATCTCTAGGGTGTTCGGTTTGTGCACTCAACATCACATGTGAATAGTGTTTACTAAGTTTGTCCCTTGATTCGAGGGTTTTTCTCTGTGTTCTCCTGTTAACCTCCCTTTTCATCCTCCTTCCTCAAAACCCAGCAACTGTATAAAAAAAATTGATTGATTTGTTTTTTCTTTCCTCAGACATTGATGAATGTAGGAATGGAGAAAACGACTGCAGCCCTAATGCTCTTTGTACTAACGCTCCTGGTTCGTATATCTGTCGATGTTTACGCGGATTCTCTGGAGACGGCAAAACATGTTCTGGTAAGAGACACTGTTGTTTTCTCATGTTTATAAAGGTTGTCTAGCATTGAATTCTGTGAAAGAATGATGCTTCTTGCCATTGTGGCCGATCATGCATAATTAACCCACCCACCTACTCCTTACTCCTCGTAGTCTCTTGATTCATCATCGAATTCTAAAAAAGGGGTACCAAGAAAAGTGTGCAGCAAGACCCACATTCCTCCCCTTGTTTTTCCGTACTCTCCCT